CACACACACACACACACACACACACACACACACACACACACACACACACACACACACACACACACACATACACAAAGAGAAACAGAGAAAAGCTTTTAGTAAAACAAATAAAAACAAATAAAATAAAATAAAACAACAATAATAAATAGATTTTAAAGTAAGTTGACAACACTAAAAATATTTTTTACAGCTTTTTGTCTTCTGTGACAGAAGAACTTTTAACCTTCATTACATTTTTCTGACCTAAAAACACAGAGCTAAAATTAATCAAAAGCAGAATGCTTATTGATATTAGAAAGAAAATTAAAACAGAATAAATTACAAAGTTTAAAAATTTGCTTTAAAACTATTGAAAAATAATAATGAGTTTCAGTATACACCATGATTAAGTGAAATGATTAAGGATAAAGTTACATAATTTGTTATTGTGCTGTGGTGGCATTAATTCTTGTTGAAGTGTGTCTCTGACAACCATTAATGCTGAACGAGCTGTCATGATATAACAGGAAAAGAGACATGGAGGAAATGACAAAATGAAGAGTGGCTGAACTGAAAAATGGCACAAAAAGCTGAAGGAACTACAAAAAAAAAACCTGAACATCTACTACAACCAACAAAACGCAGAGGGGCTGAAATGGACACTTACAAAAACTAAAAATGTCTTTGGGGCAAATACAAAAAAAACGTCTGTGAACTGAAATGGACACTGGATGCAATGAACAAAAAAACTGAACTGAAAACAAACAAGAAACTATGAACTCTGCTAAAAAAGAAGAAAAAATGATTGGCAGATGTACACGCACAGTGAGAAGAATTGTTCACTATGAACATTTGATAATTTAGAGTTCTAATGAAGATTTGAACAAGGTGCTGATCAGGTGTTTTACTGAAATTAATTTTAAAAGCAAACAAATTTTAAAAATAAACACATTTTAAAGGTTAATTAAAGCTAAAAACCATAAGCATTATCTGAATAAAAATATACTAGGCACTTTAATTAAATTATTGATTAAACTACTTATGATCAAAACAAAATTTAAACTTTAGTTTAATATATTAGTATTAGTATTAGTATAATACCGGAGCTGCAGCCACAAGGTTGTCGTGCCTGTCGTGGCGGCAACCCTCAAAGGTGGACACCGGCGGTGAGGGATGCTGTCAGGCTGAAGAAGGAGTCCTATCAGGCCTTTTCGGCCTGTGGAACCCCAGAAGCAGCTGATGGGTACCGACAGTCCAAGCGACATGCGGCTCGGGTGGTCGCTGAGGCAAAAACTCGGGCATGGGAGGAGTTCGGAGAGGCCATAGAGAAAGACTTCCGCGCGACTTTGAGGCAATTCTGGTCCACCATCCGGCATTTTGGGGGGGGGAAAGCGGTACACCACCAACACTGTTTATAGTGGGGGTGGTGTGCTGCTGACCTTAACTCGGGATGTCATGGGCAGAATACTTTGAAGACCTCCTCAATCCCACAGGCACGTCTTCCACTGAGGAAGCGGAGCCTGGAGACTCTGGGTCGGGCCCTCCAATATCTGGTGCTGAGGTCACCGAGGTGGTTAAAAAGCTCCTCAGTGGCAGGGCCCCAGGGGTGGATGAGATTCTCCTGGAGTTCCTTAAGGCTTTGGATGTTGTAGGGTTGTGTTGGCTTATTCGACTCTGCAATATTGCGTGGACATTGTGTAGTATGACATATGCAGGATATATTCATACATTTTCACGAGTTCTTCATTTTTCTGACTGTGTAAATGTCGTGCATTGAGTTTAACAGAAATGCGAACGAGAGACGTTATTTATCTTTGACCCATCAAATGAATGCGGTCATTTATTTGCAGAATCAAAGTTTAACATCACACATTTACATTAATTTGGCAAAATATGAAAACAATAACATGGCTAGTTTCACAGAAAGTGGGCACAATACGGCGATTGTCCTCACTTCTCAGCAGAACAGCAGACATCAATCACACGGCGGTGATTGAGAACTTTGCTTCAGATATTTCTAAAATATCTGTAATGATTTTAGGAGAAAGGAGAGTTTAAGATGAAAATGGAGATTTATCTTACAGAGAGATGTGTGAGGGAATTAATCTGTTTGACCAGAAACGTGCACGCTCCTTCAGTTCTCAGCTTGGTCACGGTACGCTTGGTCGAAGTAGAACTTTTACCTGGTTGATGATAGGTCAGCGTCGGTATAGAATCCTTCCTTTGACTCTTTCAGCGTCTCCGTTGAGAACAGCTAAAATACTTCGAGAGTCGTGCGAGGTTATCCAAACAGAAGTTATAATTCCCAAAATCGTCCCTTGCATTCTGGATTCAAGGACTCTGAACTCCTTCAGAGCTCTACTCCTTTAAGCTCTTTTCATCTCGTCGCGTCTCTCTTCGACAGAGACTCGACACAGACATCAGACCTTCTTTTGACACTTCTCCATGAGCTGCATCCGACAGAACTCTGCAAAACTCTGCAAAAACTCTTCTAGAACCGGGAAGTTGCCACATTTAAATGGGTTGACTTCCGGGTCATTTTAGAGCTTTTTGATTGGTGGATGGACCAGATCAGAGGTGTGGTTTGTGATGTAAGGTGTTATCCAAGTCAAGGGCAGAGATTAAGTTTGTTTAAAACAGACAGAAAGATTATTGGAGAAAACCAGACTTCGTGGAGTCTCTACTCCTATTATCTGCTGTAAAGATTAAACATGACATTTCTTTTTCAGTAAACTTTTAGTTGACCGAAACCTGAACTTTAACATACTTACAAATTTGCTCATTGAAGACAGAAAAATCAAGAAATGCCTATTACCCTGATTTCTTCTTTGAATGAGGAATAAAAATCATTACTTACTGTTTATGTAAAATAAAAATGAGTAGTTCTCTTCAACCTGTAAACATTGAGTGAACTAACACAATTTGATTATCAAACATTTGTAAAATAGTAATGATCATAGAGAATTGTCTTTTCTACTTGATTAATTCAAGAAAGAAAGTCTCCAGATGGGTCAAACTGTATTTCTGGATGCAGATCAATGAAATAACAGTTTCTGTCCATCTGGTCAGATTTGACATGAGGTCAGGTTCACTACAGTCCCCCCTTTGGAAATCATCGCCTGTCCATGGGGATGAATTCCAACCGTGAACTTACACCTTCAAATGTCCTTGAGCTTGATGTAATCCAGCAAGGAAGACCAAAGTCAAAAGTAATCCAGCAAGGAAGCCCAAAGTCAGAAGTAATCCAGCAAGGAAAACAAAGTCAAGGTAATTCCACAATGTTCTTGGTAATTCCATTGTGTTGATGATAATTCCATAATGTTGTTGGTAATTCCATTGTAGCAATGCTTTAACCCCTTGGAAACAGAGTCTGTAATCCATTGGAAAAAGTCATATAATCCACAACGGTAAATCCACAACAATTGGAAGTGTTGATTAATCAGCATACAGAGGGGTACCCTTGGATTGATCTGAAGATGCGGCCACTGGATGAAGAGTGGAGACCAACGTCAGGATTGCAGGTCGCCTCCAGCGAAGGTTGTCTCCAGCGACGTCCAGCCTGTG